GAAGTCAGACGCTTAACCGACTGCGCCACCCAGGCGCCCCTTGCCCCAGTCTTAAGACAGTCTTAATGAGGTAACATTTGAGCCAAATGAAGTATGAGAGGGACCTTGTGGCAATCTGGGATAAGAGCATTCCAGGCAGAGATCTGAATGTTAGGGTGTTTGCTCCTTTCCTGTATTCATAGTCTCAATGCCCAGAGTCTTGAACTGCATAAAGAAATTATATGTTGACCGCTTGGAGTGTTAGTACCTCCCCAAACTCCCACAGCCAATTCCAGATGCTAAGTGCTCCTCCCTGCCTGCCGGTCCCTGAACAGCTTTTGCTACCCCACTTCCCTCACTCCGAGCAGCCATTAGGACCAGTTGTGGCCCAGGGTCATCAGGATAGAGTCCTAATAGTCTTTTGATTCCTGGGGTTGGAAGTATTCCAGTGGTTGGATTGGGTGCCAGTAAAAGTCAAGTGCGTTTAAGTGTGTCTATTGTTAAACAGTGCTGTAGTTATCTTCCCCCAGAGGCCTGAGAATTAAGGAGACAATGTCTGCTGAACATGCCGAGCACCTGTGAGAGACACCGCAGATGAATACACAAAGATTTGCTTGTTCACGTATCCGTTTCAGAGCATCAGAAATGGAAAAGAACCCAAACTATTTGAATGAAGTAGAGAAAGTTGCTTGGCAATGGGGTCAAAGAAGTTAGGAGTGAGAGCTGTCATATCTAGGGCTTCAATACCTCAGAATAGGGATTTCCAACTTTTTCACGTCTTGGAAGCCTGTGTTCAAACAGAATCTTGAAAGGAAACTTGAACAGACAAAAAAGCAAGCTAAAGGGTGTGACCTAGAGTGATAACCACTTTCTGTGGTCTGTGGGGCTTCTTGGGAGCCCTGGGGCTCTCTGGACCACCGTCTGAAAACCACTGGTCTAGAATTGAAAGCAGAAAACATAAGAATCAACTTGTCCTGGCTGCCCTTCCAGAAGCTTCCTGGGATAAAAAGATGGCAAAGAAGGAGATCTACTCAGGAGTGGGGTATGGAGGGGGGAGGGGAAAGAGGAGGAAAACACTGAAAGTAGGGGGACTTAGGAATTCCTACCCAGGTCCCCTGCTCCCCTTCCTACATACAAGCTGTAGGAAAGTGAGCCAAAGGAACCAGATGAGAGAGTATAATAATAGTATTAGATAATACTTTGTACCTGCTGTTCTAAACACTTAAGGACGTTACTCATTTAATCCTCACACCAATTCTATGAGGTTGATAGTATTATTATCCCATTTATACAGATGAGGAGACTGAGGTAGAAGGAGCCCTGTTGACTTTCCCACTTGTGAATCATTCATGTATTATGCATGAATAAAAGAGAGGGAATTTGGGAGTCTGTCAACCAAAATAAGACAGATGGTCAGAGGAATGCAGCTTACATACAAATACAGATAATTATGGTGAGCAACAGGATTGTGTTTGGTAAAACATGTCACCCGGTAGCAGACCATTAGATGACTTCCCACTCACTCATTTGCACCGAGCATGAGAAAGGGTGTGTGCAGCTAGCTAGAAGGCAACTGCCTAGCAGGGACCTTTGCTTTGTCCCTTCAAGACTCGCCTCTTGGTCTTACAGATGAACTTTTCAATAGCCAGGGCTGGTTAGAATACCAATTCTGAAAGCGGAGAGAGAGGTATAAGATTCTGTGTCAGGTAGGTACGGCAGGAAAGAGAAAGCACATTCGAAGGGTTCATTAATGGAAGGACTGTCTACAGAGGTGGGTGAAGGGAACTGACGAGCTGTGAGGTCCTTCGTGACTAACAACAGCAAGAAATCTTTTTAGTGCCCCTCCACTGGGGGAGATAAGGTGAAGGAACTTTGTGAGGAAAACCTGTGGGAGCTGGGGTCAAGGAAGAGGGGCCACCCAACCACAGCTGTAATTGCAAAATGCCACCACTGCCAGGAACACAGGGAAGTGTGGGGGAGAGCAGTGAGGCACCGGGAGAGTCTCACCTCTACTACCTCTTTCTCTTCTAGTCCTCTAACAGTGCCTCCCATTGGCCAAACCCAATCAAAGCTAGA